GGGAAAGTGTCAACTTGGCAAGGAGGAAGAGCTATCCAATTAAAGGTGGTGGGAAAAGGCAGCGCAGGACAAGCTAACTGGCAGCTTGCAAAGTGGTTAAAGCTGTAGATACATAGACGAGGAACTGAGGCGTAAATCTCCGCCCGATTCACAATAAGAAGTGCTTTTATACATCCATGGAAAAATGCAACGATCTTTTCATTTTACTCCGCCACAAAATTTTGAAGCCTTTTTGTATATAATAATGCTGAAGAAATACAAAATCTTTACATTTTATTTATTTTTAAGATTGTTGACTTCTGTAAATACAACACCTTACTATTGACACAAGATTTTGTGATGTGAACCTAGTAGACAGTCAATACATTTTGTTGCTTTCATTGTATCTAAAAAATAGTAGTAAGATACATTTTGTACTAATATTGATATAGTTTGCTATCATTATTAAGTATGGATAAATTTAAGATTCATAAATGAAGGGTGACACAAGTTTGGGAGATTCGTAGCTTATTAAACAATCTTTCCAAATAAATACTTTGAAAGCAGAGAGCATGTGAGACACTTGACAACCCCCTGGTTTGAGTCAGGGGCACCTCGGCCCTCAAAGTGGCCGTCCTGCTTTTCCACACTTTAAAGTGGTCTGATTGACCCAATGTGCATTTCATTTGTTGACTGCTGCTTGCATGAATATTAATTGTGGATCCAAGTAAGATGAAATCCTTGACAATTTCAATCTTTTTCTCCATTTATCGTGATGTTACCTATTGGTCCTGTTGTGAGAATTTTTATTTTTTCTACCTAGAGTTGTACTCTGCAGTGAAGGCTGCAATCCTTGATCTTTAACAACAAGTGCTTCAAGTCCTGCTCCCTTTCAGCAAGCAAGGTTGTGTCATCTGCATGTTACATGTTGTTGATAAACTTTCTTTGGGTCCTTATGTCCTGTTCTCTACTTATAATTCAACTTCTCAGATCATCCAGCTTCTCTGATTATTTTCTCAGCATACTACAAACTAAATATGTCTGGGGAGAGGATACAACCTTAGTGCACACCTTTCCTGATTTTAAACCATGCAGTATTCTCTGGTCCCATTCGCACCACTGCCTCTTGGTCCATATACAGGTTCCAAATGAGCACAATGAAATGTTCTGGAATTCTGGTTCTTCTCAATACGATCCATAGTTTCATGGGCAAGTGGAAGAGCCGCGGAAAAGAGGAAGATGCTTGGTGAGCTGGACCGACACAGTGGCTGCCACAGTGGGCGTCAATTCATCAAGAACAGCGAGGATGGCACAGGCCTGGTAATGTCCTGTTCTGTTGAACGCGGGGTCGCCGTGAGGCCAAACTGATTTGAGGGCACCTGACAACAATAACGGCAGCAACATTGGAAACTAGAGGGTACCATGGTGATCCTTCAAGCCTGAGGATCAATGATCTCCTCCTTGAGGTCCTGTAGCACTTTGTGGTTCGCTCCTGCATCATTCTACCATGCTGCACAGGACCATGATGTAAAAATAACACTCAATGAAGATACTTCGGGTTGGACACTCGTATATCATTTCAAGTGACACGGTTCTGGAGGACCTACCATGAATGGGGATTTTAAACAGCTTCCCATTCCCGTGATGGAAGCAAACAAGGAAATAAACTACTGCTACCCAGGGTGGAGGTGCCCACAGGAAGCACAGAGGGAACCTCCTAACAATATTCCCTGCTAAATCGTACATTTCTTGAAGACAAGGGCTACATGCTCTCCTGACACACGGCACTGGGTTTCTCCCCTGGCATCTGTTGAGAAAATATTGCTTAATTAGTTGCCTCTCTTAATTACTTAATTTACAAGTTGTTCAATGGAGGGCAATTTGACTGGAAAAATAATATGGGAACCATGTCTGCAGGGGAAGGTTTTAACTAGTTATAACAGTAGATCAGAGCTGATATGCTAGTCTTAAGTTATTTCAAGGATTGTCATATGGAGATAGGTACAAATTTATTCTATAACATTCCAGAAGGCAGACATAGCAATCCATTCATCTTAGATCTGCTCTCTGTAGTGTTAGTTGTATTGTATATAAATTGTTTGTAAGCTTCTTATATGCAACACAGCCTTAGCATTGCTGAATGAGGAAAAATCATAGATGAAAATAACTAGAAGAATGAATATGAGAAATAAACTTTATTATGGTTTATTCTTTTACGTGACAAAGCTTTGTTATCCTAACACTCATGCTCTATCCAATTCATTGGTCAATATCTCAGGGGGAAAAAATAGCTAGCTGTAAATATAGATGTATTTTCTTAAATTTAAATATAATAGACATGCAGTGCTCAACTTATAGCCATAATTAATTTTTGAATATGCATGGAAAATTAGGTCATCTTAGTCTGCTGCTCTCTAAGACAGAGGAGTAGCCCTGCTGCTTAGTGTTGCCGAGAGCATACGTTTCTATGGGAGCAGACAGCCTCATCTGACTCCCGTAGAGCGGCTGTGGGTTGAAACCGCCGACCCTGAGGTGATCAGCCCAGTGCTTAACCCATGGTGCCACCGGGCTTCTGTCGGAGTGGCACATATTGGTGCGAGTTAGTTCTGACGCACAGTGAATCTACACACAGCAGAAAAACACGACCCTGTCCCACACCGTCCTCACGATCCTCCTCCTGCTGCAGCCACCGTGTCAACCCATCTCCGTGACACATAACAGAACACAAAAATGTCATGATAACATGTCATCCTGACTGAAGGATACTATAGCACCACGAATTTCCCGGCCTTCAACTAGCAGTTTCATCCATCTCCTAAGAGAAGACTCACCGGCCTCTCAAAAGTTCTAACACCAAAGGTGGCCCTGGCTGCAGGGTGCCAGGGCCCTGCGGGCTCACGTCCCCAAACACGGCAGCCTGTGCCCCATTCACACGGTGAAGCATTTCTGAATTACAAGCAAAAAAACAACAAGAAAATCGCATAAGGAATACTTCCCTGCTTCCAGCTCCTTCCTCAAATCTTAGGGGAACGTCTCTCCTTCTCCAGCCCCCTGGCCCTCTGAAAAAATGCTTTCATTTGATTGCTTCAGTAATGAACCTTCAACAAAAGCCGGTCGCTGTCGGGTTCTCAGCAGTAAAATGCTGGGCACGGAGCACGTTCATCAGATGGAGAATGAATGGGGCCTGTAGAACCCAGCTCCGTCACCGCGGTTCTATCTGCTTTCCGGTCGCTTTCCGCTCACCCCTCCTTGAACCCTCCCAGACTGCTGCTGCCATGTTAACAGGCACACAGTACTGCTCGAATAATGAAACTGCTGACGCTGTTTAAAATCCCCATTCATGGTAGGTCCTCCAGAACCGTGTCAGTTGAAATGATATACATGGACTTTATTAGTGCTCATGAAAATGTATGCAGGAAAGATTGGATCCTGTCCTCTTTGAATTGTGGAAAAGTTGTGATAAGTAACTAGCCATCATACTCTACTGTGGAGGGTCCTTTGCAAGGTGTGGTGTCAACGCAACATTTACCGTGTCTTTACAAACACCTTTTGCCCCTGTCTGGCCTGATCAAGCTGGTGGAACTAGAGATCCAGTTAGAGCTCTGACTGATGAATTCAACGGAACCAACTGTTGCTTCCCAGAACATGGTGGTACGAAAGGGCTGTTGTGGATCGATACCATCGAGTCCGTTCGAACTCCCATCAAACCTATATGCAACAGAACAAATCACTGCTGTTGCTATGCTGGATTGCTATTTCTGCCTTCTGGAATGTTATAGAATAAATTTGTACCTATCTCCATATGACAATCCTTGAAATGACTTAAGACTAGCATATCAGCTCTGATCTACTGTTATAACTAGTTAAAACCTTCCCCTGCAGACATGGTTCCCATATTATTTTTCCAGTCAAATTGCCCTCCATTGAACAACTTGTAAATTAAGTAATTAATTTAGTAATTAATAAAGTAATTCCGTTTGCAGGCACTGTGTCCATCCATCTCATGGGAGGTCTCCCTCTTTCCTACCGACCCTACAGTCCACCAGCATGATGTCTTCGTGTAGGGACTTGTCTCTTCCGCTATCCTATTCAGAGTACATGAGATGAAGGCTCACCACCTTCTCTTCTAAGGAGCATCCTGGGTACATGCTTCTTCCAACACTGATTTGTTTGTTCTTCTAGAACACAGCAAGCTTTGGAGATGGAAGAGCCCATCCTGTCCCTCGCAACAATTTAAAAATTGTTTGAAAGCCATAAATATATTTTGTAAACAAATGAAATAGCTGAATAATATCCTTTCAATTTTTCAATTTTATTTTATAGCCACAGGTACATAGCGAAGGAGTCGCATGTGGCCAGAGAGCCGTGGTTTGCCAACCACCCCCTGTCCACCCTTCTAGAAGAATAAATAGCTACTCTTTCACAATCCTCTTTCCTGCTCCAGTCCTGCCTTGCCTCAAATTCTGGTGGGAAAATCTTGCATTTAAATTGTTTGTTAATAATCAGACCATCTATATTTTTTGGAAGTGAGAATCATTTTAAGTTTTATTTTATTAGATTTTTACATGGACAAAACAAAAGTTAGCTACTTTTTTTTAATTACACCAGAAAAAGAGGGATTTTCTTCAAGCTATACTTAAGGACTACTTCCACTGTTCACAGCATTCAACCACCTTTTTAATCATGAACTACAGAAAGGACTCACATTGTGCCAGGCACCATGCCACATCCTGAGGATAAAAAGGTGGGCAGGTGGGAACGCCCCCTACTGTTAGAAAGAAAATCTAGCAGCTAGAACAGCTGAATCTCTTGGAGACTCTCTACCATCCCTTTAAAACCATCCACAACTAGTTTTTCCCCACAGAAAATGATCTTTACCAAGTCAAACATTACTTCATCTTTCTTGGATCAAGATGCGGCATAATCAAATACATACATTAAAACACAGTCATACATTGGCATTCAGATATTAGTGTTTTAAATCTTTCAAAGCTCAGATAAGAAATAAACACACGTCTTGCCTTTGGTATGATGCTCATGGAGCTGAAGAAGTGATTGTAAGGACTCCACACTCTCAAACTCCTGAGTATTCTGGAGAAAGTCTTCGGCTTGGTCTATTTTAATAGCGAACTACAACAGAAAGACAGGAGGGTGGGGGAAATATTTTAAAAAGTGTAAACCAATGTACCATTTTAGTTATTCACAGATGTTTTTAACAGAGTCGTTACCTGCATTATTGTAGAGGTGGTGGTGGTAGAGGTGGAGATGGAGGTGG